CGGGGTATCAGGATTGCAGAAAGACTCATTAACAACCTGTGAGATGACACAGCCTTGCTTGCTGAAAGTGAAGAGGACTTGAAGCACTTACTGATGAAGATCAAAGACCACAGCCTTCAGTATGGATTACACCTCAACATAATGAAAACAAAAATCCTCACAACGGGACCAAAAGGCAATATCATGATAAACGGAGAAAAGATTGAAGTTGTCAAGGATTTCATTCTACTTGGATCAACAATCAACATCCAGGAAGCAGGATTCAAGAAATCAAACGACATTATCCCTTAGGGAAAATGTGCGGCAAAAGATCTCTTTAAAGTTCTAAAAAGCAAAGATGTCTCTTTGATGACTAAGGTGCTCCTGACCCAAGCCATGGTCTTTTCAATTGCCTCATACGCATGCAAAAGCTGAACAATAAAAAAGAAAGACCGAAACATTGACACGTTCGAATCGTGGTGTTGGTGAAGAATACTGAATATATTGCGGACTGTCAGAAGAATGAACAAATCAGTTTTGAAAGAAGTACAGTCACAGTACGCCTCAGAAGCAAGAACAGTGAAGCTTCATTGCGCTTACTTTAGACACAACATCAGAAAAGATAGTCCCTGGAGAAAGACATCGTGCTTGGTAAAGTAGAGGGTCAGTGAAAAAGAAGGAGATTCTCAATGAGATGGATTGACACCACAGCTGCACCAATGTACTCAAACATACCAACAATTGAGAGGATGGAGCAGGACTGGGGTGCCCTGAGTTGGAGCTGACTCAGTGGCAACTAACAACAATAAACAAGGGAAGGGAATAAAACATGAAACATGCTGGTACTACGTCATGAGTTTTTTGCATCTTTGCTGCTTTGTAGTATTTCTTTTGCAGAAAAGATAAACACTTCCTCTTGGTGCTTCAAATGAGAAAAGAAACATGGTCACGGGAGTCATTGCTATCAATCATCTTGGACATAAAATGGGAGACTCAGCTCAGGCCCTCTCTGTCTATTCTTCCTAAGACTAGGCAGAAGGGCTAGACAGTGGTGACAACCAGCTCTGCTCAGACCTCTTGAACAAATCTGAAAGAGGCCCGGGAAACAGTTCCCAGCAGATGGCCAGGAACCCAGGAAGAGCAATAGCTGAGAATTCCTTATTGTTGCCATGAGTAGAATATAAAGCGGTTTTCAAGGTTGAGAAGGGACAGTGTTGACATGTCGTGGGGTTGTTAAACATTGTCATAAAACAATATGTGTACTAACTGTTTAATGAGGAACTATTTGTTCTGTAAACCTTCATCTAAAGTACAATAAGAAAAAATTAAAAAAAGAAAAGAATATGAAGGGGCTTTGTTGAAAAGTTCTTTTGATGTCTGCCCCACAGGGGAATAAAAAACAAATACAAAAAAACATATACACCATGAACTAAAGAGCTATGTTGTTGTTGTTAGGTGCCATGGAGTCAGCTCTGACTCACAGCGACCCTATGATCAACAGAATGAAACACTGCCTGGTCCTGCGCCATCCTCGCAATAGCTGTTATGCCTGAGCCCATTGCTGCAGCCACTGTGTCAATCCATCTCATTGAGGGTTTTCCTCTTTTTCACTGACCCTGTACTTTACCAAGCATGATGTCCTTCTCCAGGGATTGAAAATTACTGGTGACTGGAATGTGAAAGTTGGAAACAAAGAGGAAGAATCCGCAGTTGGAAAATACGGCCTTGGTGATAGAAACATTGCTGGAGATAGCATGATAGAATTTTGCAAGACCAATGACTTCTTCACTGCAAATACCTTTTTTCAACAACATAAGCAGTGACTATACACATGGACCTCACCAGTTCAAATACACAGGAATCAAATAGACTACATTTGTGGAAAAGAGACAATGGAAAAGCTCAATATCATCTATCAGAACAAGGCCAGGGGCCAACAGCGGAACAGACCATCAACTGCTCATCAAGTTCAAGTTGAAACTGAAGAAATTAGAACACGTCCATGAGAGCCAAAGTACAACCTTCAGTATATCCCACCTGAATTTAGAGACCATCTCATGAACAGATTTGATGCGTTCAACACTAGTGACCAAAGACCAGATGTGTTGTAGAATGACATCAAGGACATCAAACACAAAGAAAGCAAGAGGTCATTAAAAAGACATGAAAGAAAGAAATGACCAAAATCTATGCCAGAAGAGACTCTGAAACGTGCTCTTGAACGTCGAGTAGCCACAGCAAAAGGAAGAAAAAAAAAAGAGCTATAAGAGAGTACAGAAGTACAACAGGGCTCAGAGAATGATGAGCTAGGAGGGATGTGAGGAGCAATGGGGAAGACTGTGGAGCTGAACCCCAAGGACATCTGGGAGTGCGGAGGACTGGTCAGCAGGGAAGAGAACCAGCGTCAGGCAAGCTAGGATAACAATGACAAGCATTCCCTGACTGAGCACCGTGTACCAAGCGGTAGTCTAGACATGGCAGATACAGAAGTGACAAAGCAGCCTCTGTGTTTTTGCAAATTTATGATGAACTCTGGGTGGCAGTTCTCACCTGAAACGAATGAGGACATTTATATTCTTTATCACTCCTAGTCTGAATATTCATACACATCTCTGCAGGACTACAGGGACCCCTAAATCCCTGCTGGTGATGTAACATAATATATGTCTATGTACTTTCTAAAATCCAAAAATGCGTGAATTCCAAAAGTCATCTGGGCCCAAGAGTTTTGAAAAGGGATTGTAGATCAAAAGTTCCAGAGATGGTTACCTGATGATCTCAAGAATGATAATTTATTGTAGAAAACTGTTTGTTCACTTAAAAGTTATTCTTATACACAAGGTTGGTTTTGTCCAACAACTTTGTTATAATTAACCCTGAACTATGCCCTCATTCAGAGCCCCAGGGTGGTGTGAAATGTTAAGCACTTGGCTGCCAATCAAAAGATTTGAAGTTCTAGTCCACTTAGAGGTACCTCAGAAGAAAGACTTGGTTACCTATTTCCAAAAAATCAGTCATTGAAAACTCTATGGAGCACAGTTCTACTCTGACACACATGGAGTTACAATGAGTTGGAATAGAATCAGTGGCAATTTTTTTTTTTTTTAATTACCTCACTGATTTAGTTCTAATGAGTTCCAACAGTACAGAAGGCCTGCAGTAAGTCTCTTAAAATTAGGGACCAAATCTGCAGCACTCTTCCTCGTAAACAACTACTTTAAAAATGAATATTAGTATTTTTCACAGGGTAAATCTACAACTCCATGCAGAATCCCCAACTGCCATATCATTACTTCAGACTGGGTGGCTGTAAGTTGAGACCTGAATGACAAAAGGGAGTCGGTCCTATGAAGATTCAGAGGAAGAACTGTCTAAGCAAGGAAAACACTGCCATGAAGAGGCCCAGTGGTGGGAGGGTCTGGCAGTGAGTTTGGAATATGGTGGGTCAGGGATGGGACACTGCGGCACATGTGAAGGCAGTCTGCATACAGCTTTGTGGTGCAAGTAAGACGCTCAGAGTATACCGTGGGTACAATGCAAAGATACTGCACAGATTTAATGAAGTTATTAATAGGGTCTGATTTAGATTTTCAAGGAGTATATTTGGGATATGAACAGTAATTCAGTTTGGGCACAGTAAAGCATATGAGTAGAAAAGAAACAAAGCTTAAACAAGAGAGATTATGGCCAGCTGACAGTGGAAGGCCTCACAGGACTACAATGACTGTGATTTCAGACAAATACTTGTGGTCACATAAAATGTTATTAATTTAATGATGGTTTTTATTTTAGCCTTTTGCATCACTATATTTATTACCACCTGATTTGAACACTATATTATAAAGACCAAAAGTATATATACAGTAAACAATTTTATCACCATCTAATAAAAACACTACATAATAAAAACCAAAGATGCTTAAAGTGATTACTTAAAAGAATGAAGATTAAGTCAATCTGGTAACAATTCACTGATGTAGCTACATTCACACATCCAAAAAGCACATGTGCAGCGTGAGGACTTTGTGATACTTTTAGGATGCCAATTTCATACCGACTATTTCTTTACGAAAATGTTAATAAGTAGCTTGGTTTTATGTAGTCCACACTATTTCCTACAAGAAATAACTATCTGATCAGTCAAACAGTTTATTTGATTCAGCAAGCAATGGTTATTTTTAAAAGATACGTTATGAAGTGATTTAAGCAACTGTCATTTGATATCACAAATACTGAAACTGTCAGTTATCCTTCTATAGTTTAGTTTTCTTTGCTAAATTACTATAATAATCTTACTCCTACATGTTTTCCTTCTATCCTTCACCTTTACAGCATCCATAATTGGGTCTTACATAGAAGTGACCAGATTTCTTAAATATATTTTTTGATGACAGTCACAGGGTCATCGCATAAAACTGTCATTCAGAGTCATTCTATCTATGCAATAAAGGCATACCATAGGAAGCGAGTATGTATTACTAACATGATCAATTATTATAAGGTATATAATTAATTATTCTCTGCAATTTAAGAATAACACTCAAGTCAGAAGTATTAATAAGAATAAATGTACTAAATTCTGAGCTACCAAAAAAGGTTTTAAGCTAATAAAAAGTTAAAATCAAACTAATTTCCCCACTCTTCAGTAAATATGAGAAAAATCTGAATAAAAAAAGTATCTTAAGCGTATATTAATGGATAAAACCATAGTTTTATCTATTACACTAGATGCATTAGGCTAATCTTAGAGAACTCCAGTGACTTGAAACTACTCACCTGTCGGAGGCAAGCAATCCTTCCAATCAAAACAGCCCGCATAAATCCCGGGCTCCAGGGAGCCAACGATGGGATCTGCTTTCAACTCAATGTAATTTTCAAAGAGCCTTTGGTCTAATTGTTTCAGTGAGGCCATGCTAACCTATAAACATACAATATAGAAGAATATTTGTGAGTTGTCTACTTGCAGGGGAAGAAAAAAGTAAAACAATGTAAACAGCAAATACTTCAGTGCATTTAAAAAAATTATTGTGGTAAAAATATACATAACAAAACATTAGCCAATTCAACAGTTTCTATATGTATAATTCAGTGACACTGATTTCGTTCTTCATGGTGTGCAAACATCATCACTATCCTTCTCTAAGTGATTTCCACCACCATTAACACAAACTCAATACTCCCTTACTTCAGTGTATTTTAAAAGCACTTAACAACCTTCCTATGAAAATACATGGTTTTATTTTATTTATTTTAAGCAGTAAAGACCACTCTTACCACAGCTATTTCGTGGGATTAAAAAAATACTCATATATAGACTACAGATCATATTAAGAACACTTTTAATAAACTTTCATTTCTGTAAGGACAGCAAAAAAGGCATTGTAAATACTAAATTGTAATAGCCAGTGAAGTAAATTTAAGTAGGAGCTATTTAAAATAATGCAACACTATTTTTCCATATTAATTACTTAGAGAAGAGTATTATTAATGGAAAATAAGCCTGTTCTGAGAGGACAGAAATCCAAATGCAGCTCTCTTTCCTTCTTCCTCCAATTACAACTCTGGCTGAATTAACTCAGAGAACTGCGGTTGTCTGGAAATGGCTAAGTGTGGGTGGCAGCTCAGGGTTCCACAGTAACTTTGGCACAGAGAACAGACGTAGGGTGCTCTCTTCCACAGATAAAACCAGAGACAAGAGAACTGTATCAGAGAGTCCTGTGTGAGCAAGGCAAAGTGGCAGATCCTTGCAGTCCACATGATCTGTGGACTCCTGGTGGTAGCAGGAGCAGAACAAGGCTGAAGTGGATAACATCAGCCCTACATGAGTGTGCCTAGTCTCACTGGCACTTAAGAGGCCAACAAGCTGCAGAAGGGGTGGGCAGAGTCCTGAACTTAGGAGAGAGTGAGAAGCATGGGGAGTAGGGAGTCTGTGGGCCCCTAGTGCCTCTGTAGTAGACTGATGGCCTGTCTGTGACTGCACCACTGGCCTACAGGACATGGCTTCTCTCCATGCCAAGCCTGAGCTTCAACAGACTGACAATAAAAAATAAGGACACATTCAAGGGAGTCCAGCAGCTATAAAGAGGAATATCAGTCAACCAGTGAAATTCAGCTGTGGAAGAGGCAGGCAACAACTTTAGCAGAAAAATAACGAAAACTTTCAAAGGAGATTAAAGTGCAACACAAAACGAGACTTTGCATATAAAGCACACTATTTCCAAAGTTAACAATTTAGTAGATTAATTGAAGAAGCTACTGGTCACTATTGGCATTGAAATACTTCCAAACACAGGGTAAAAATGTAAAGATTGATGAAAATTATGAAGGAAGAGACTTGGAAGATAGATCCAGGAGCTCAATATGCAAGAAACAGAAATTCAAGTAGAGAAATAGAAGTAGTTAGAGAACAAGTAATAATTAAACAAGAAATAGAAGAAAATTTAACTACATTAAAGATCTGAGTCTGTATTTGAATGGGCTGTGTTCCAGGCTAGACTGATGAGAAACAGCTGGACAAATTCAGTTAGTTTCTCATTTCTAAATTAAAAAAAAAAAGGAGGAAATCTTTCCAGCTCCAATGTAAACAAAATAATTTTCCTACCAAAAAGCAAGAATCAGTCTGACATCAGATTTCTCAGCTGCAACACTGGAACCTAAAATCACTGAATAATATCTACAGGCTACCAAAATGAAAGGAATACAATCCAAGAATCCTATGTTTAGCCAAGATGTCATTCACTTAATAGCATCCAAGAAATATTTTTGGATATGCAAGGTTTCAAAGAGGATATCACCTGTATAATTGGGAAAGGGCTCTAACCGAAATACAAATAAATCAGATTGATGAGAATGATGAATAAACGGTGGCAGGCAAGAAACTTTGGGTTCCCTCCCTGCATTCCTCTCTCTCTTCACCTGGTATTTATAAAGATAAGCTTAAGTAGATGATTAGAAGCATTCTGGAAACATGAAATAGAAGTCATAAATAAGAATTCTTGAAAAAGAGGAGACATCCAAAAGAAAAATACTAATAAAAATATAGAATGACAATGAAAATACAACATACCAAAATTTGTGTGATAAAATGATAAAATTTACAGCTATAAATGCAAATACTAGAAAAAAAGATTTAAGAGGTTTAAAACCAATGTTTTAATCTTCTACTTTAGACAGCTACAAAGAGAGAAAATTAAACCCAGAGGAAGTGTGAGAAAAAAAAAAGGATAAGAGCAAAAATCAACGAAATTTTTAAAAAGAGGAACATCACCAATACTAAAAGCAAGTTCTTTGAAGAGATTAATAAAACTGATTAAAAGTGAGGCAAGCCTGATCAAGAAACAAAGAGGACAAAACATAAATTACCAATAACAGAAATGAAAAAGGAACATTACTACAGATCCTACAGATATAAAAGGATATTCTGAAAGAACCACATGAACATCTCAATTGATAAAGAATAGGCATTTGGCAAAATCCAACATCCTTTCATGATAAAAATACTCAACAAACTAGGAATAGAAGATAAATTCCTAAATATAATAAAAGACATTTATGAAAAACCCACAGCTAACATCATACTCATTAAAGAAACATTGAGAGTTTTCCCTTTAAGAGCAGGAACAAGACAAGGATGCCCATTCTTCTCACTACTGCTATTCAATATTGGACTGGAAGTCCTAGCCATAGCAATTAGGCAAGAAAAAGAAATAAAAGGTACCCAAATTGGGAAGGAAGAAGTAAAACTATTCCTATTCACAGATGACATGATTCTATATATAGAAAATCCCAAAGATTCCGAAGAAAGGCTACTAGAGTTAATAAATGAATTTAGCAAAGTCGCAGGGTGGAAGGTTAATGCACAAAAATTAGACGGGTTTCTATACACCAGCAATGAATAATCTGGAAAGGGAATTAAGAAAACAATTCCATTTACAATAGCATCTAAAAGAATAAAACACCTAAGAATAAATTTAACCAGGGAGGTGAAAGGCACGTACAACTGAAAACTATAAAACATTGCTAAAAGATATTAAAGAAGACCTAAATAAATGGGAAGACATTCTGTGTTCATGGAGTGGAAGACTTAACATTACTGAGACGTCAGTACTACCCAAAGTGATCTACAGATTCAACGAAATACCTATCAAAATCCCAACAGCTTGTTTTTTTTTTCTCGCAAAAATGGAAAAGTCAATCAACAAATTAATAGGGAAGTCAATCATCAAATTAATAGAGAATTGCAAGGGGCCTAAAATAACCAAAGCAATCTTGAAAAAGAACAACAAAGTAGGAAGAGTCACAACTTCCCAATTTCAAAATAGACTATAAATCTACAGTAATCAAAACAGTGTGGTACTAGTATAAGGATAGACATATAGACTGATGGAATGGAATTATGAGTCCAGAAAGAAATTAATACATCTTTGGTAAATTGAATTTTTGACAAGGGTGCCAAGATCATTCAATGGGGAAAGAATAATCCCGTCAAAAAATGGTTCTGAGACAACTGGATCTTGACATACAAAAGAATGAAGTTGGACTTATACTTTACACCCTACACAAAAATTAACTCAAAATGGTTCAATGACCCAAATATAAGAACTAAAACCATAACACTCTTAGAAAAAAACATACAGGGGTAAAGTTTCCAGATCTAGTTTTTGACAATGGATTCTCAGATATGACACCAAAAGTATGAGCAAAATAAGATGAAATGGATGAACTGGACTTCATCGGAATTTTTAAAATCTTTTGTGCATCAAAAGACTTAACAACAAAGTGAAGATAACCTACAGAATGGGAGAAAACATTTGGAAACCACATATTTCATAAACGATTTAATACCCAGAATATATAAAGAACTTTTACAATTCAACAACAAAAAGATAAACAAACCAATTTAAAAATTGGCAAAGGATTTGAGAGACATTTCTTTAAAGAAAATACACAAATGGTCAATAGGCACATGAAAAGATGCTCAAAGTCATTAGACATCAGGGAAATCTAAAACAAAACCACAATGGGATACCATTTCACTCCTACTAGTATGGCTATTATCAGAAAAGTGGAATAACAACTGTTGCCAAGGATGTGGACATACTGGAACACTCATCCATTGCTGGTGAGACGGAAAATGGTACAGCCACCGTGGAAAAGAGTTTGCCAGTTCCTCAAAGGATAAACACAGAATTAACATATGATCCAGCCATTTCACTTTTTCAAGTTAGAAGAATTAAAAGCAGTGACTCAGACAGTTCCTTGCACACCAATGTTCTTTACAGCATTACTCACAATAGGCAAGAGGTGGAAACAACTCAAGTGTCCACCAAGAGATGAATGAATAAATCAAATGCGGTACATACATACATGGAATATTAAAGCCAAAAAAAACCAAACCAGTTGCCTTCACGTTGATTCTGACTCACAGTGACCCTATACGACAGGGCAGAACTGCCCTCATAGGGTTTCCAAGGCTGTAATCTTTCCTTACAAAAGCAGCCTGCCACATCTTTCTCCCACTGAAAGGGTGATAGGTTTGAACTGCCAGCTTTTTGGTAAGCATCCTAGTGCTTTACCACTGCACCACCTGGACTCCTCAGTGGAATGTTGGAATATTACTCAGCCATAAATAGAAATGAAGTCCTGATACAAGCTAGAAAATGACTGGACCTTGAAAACATTATGCTGAGTGAAATAAGTCAAACACAAAGGGGCACAGTCTCAGGCTGGGTCTTCTAGAGAAGCGAAACCAATGAAGCATATATATACAAACACACATTCATACATGTATATATACGTGTATGTGTATATATAAATATATATTATACATATAATGTATATATACACACAGACCAGCCAATATGGTAACTCCCGTCTTTGCCTGCTGATACAGAAGCATGTGGAGCCCAAAGTGGCCAG